CGGCATGGCGGCCACGGCGTACTCCGTGGCGCTCCTCGGCGGCGCACGCCTGCCGGCCGCCCCGTGCTCCGCCCTCCTCCCTCGGCGCAGCGTCTGCCAGCTTCGCCTCCAAGGTAATAACTAGCTGGCTCAGCCGGTTTTGTTCGTCATAGCAGATTGCTCATCTGACGTCGTTTTAGAGGATTATTCACCCGTGCTTTGGCGATTCTCGCGGCGTTGCAGATGCACAGCTCTCCCTGCTCCGTGTGAAGGCCGCGTCCGAGGACACATCGGCCTCCGGCGACGAGCTCATCGAGGACCTCAAAGCAAAGGTACATGCCAATTGCCGGCCGTCCACATATCTGGCATGTATCTATTGGCCATCAGGCAATGCGCGCATGCCTTCTTAACCTCACCCCTGCTGTGCTTTATTTGACTTTTGACTTGCAGTGGGACTCCGTTGAGGACAAGCCCACCGTCCTCTTGTACGGCGGCGGCGCCATCGTCGCCCTCTGGCTGACGTCCGTGGTCGTCGCTGCCATCAACGCCGTGCCGCTGGTATGTAGTTGTAGTGTCCGTGACACCTGGCTATTATTAAGGGCAACTCTGACGTCCGGACGTCCGATGGATACCGATCCATCGGACAGTGCCGTCAGGACGCAAGGACGTCCGGGCCCTTCGTGGCGCACTCGCCCTCTCGCACGGAATCACGTCCGCCCGCCCGCACGGAATAGAACAGAGATCGGAACCGCCTTCCTCCGCCTCTCCTGCGCATGGAACCCGCCCGCCCCAACCTCCCTCCCCGCATTTGGAACGGATCGAATAGAACAGGTTTCCCATTCGCCCCAACCTCGCCTCACGCCCCAACGCACTCCCATCGTAAAACTGTTTGCAACATCAAACAAAACACAATGCGAGGTGAAACATCGAATAAGTCTCTTTGCGCAATATCGAACAAGAGCGACTACAACAACACAACAAAGCTACTTGCAATACGAGATGCAACATCGGAAAAAATACTAATGCAACAAAAGAAATTATTTGTTGCAACAAAAAACCAAAGCTACTGCAACAACGAAACAAAAGCGCAATGCGAGATGCAACATCGTAAAAAAAGACTAATGCAACAAAGAAAAATTACTTGTTGTAACAACAAACCAAAGCTACTGCAACAATAGAAAACAAAGCGCAGTGCGAGATGCAACATTAGGAAAAAAAAGACCAATGCAATAAATAAAAAAACTTGTTGCAACAGCGAAACAACACTACTGCAACAACAGAAACAAAAACGCAATGCGAGATGCAACATAAAAAAAGACTAATGCAACAAAGAAATATTGCATGTTGCAACAGCAAAACGACGCTATTGCAACAACAGAAACAAAAAGGCTCAATGCGAGATGCAACATCAGAAAAAAAAAACTAATGCAACAAAGAAATATTGCTTGTTGCAATAGCAAAGCAAACTACTGCAACAGAGCTCGTCAGAACCCTAGCCATCGCCGCGTCCCTCAGTTCCTGATCCAGAGGAGGAGGAGGAGAGCTCAAATCCAGATGAGGAGGAAGGAGAGAGAGAGGAGGAGGGCTCAGATCCATAGAAGGACCCACCTACCTCGCCGGAAGCCGCCGTCGTCGCCCTCCTCTCCGATTGCATGGAGGTCGCGGAGCAAGTGAGGGAGGTAGGGAGGGGCGGCTCACCGGAAGCCGCCGCCGCCGCCCTCCTCTACGGTGGCATGGAGGTCACGGAGGGAGGGACGGAGGAAGGGAGGGAGGGGCGGCTCGCCGGAAACCACCGTCGTCGCGGCATGGAGGTTGCGGAGGGAGGGAGGGGTGGCGCCGCGCGAGCAGAATGAGAGAGTGGAGGAGCCAGGAGGAGGAGAGGGCGAGAAGAACGAGAGAAGTGAAGCACGCGGACACGCGATGGGGATGGGGAGGGCGTCGAGCGGGCGGATAAGATGAGGCGCTGGTCGAATCGTTTTCTGACGCGCGTCCGAAACGTCGGACGTTCGAGTAGGAGCATTACCGATTATTCAAATTCCAGTCCAACACTCTGAATTGCGCTAACCGGACGTGGTGTTCTTGAGCAGCTCCCCAAGATCCTGGAGCTTGTTGGGCTCGGCTACACCGGCTGGTTCGTGTACCGCTACCTCCTCTTCAAGGTAACCGAGTGATAGAGAGAGCGTGCATATAAAATTCTTTTGCACTTTATCTTGAACTTGTGCGTGCATCTCTACGTGTTATACAAAGAAGCTCTCTTACAAAAATGTCTTTGGTTCTTCTTTTACTCCGATTACAGGAAAGCAGGAAAGAGTTGGCCGCCGACATTGAGACCTTGAAGAAAAAGATAGCTGGAACAGAATAAACTCTCATGGAAAGCTTTAGAGGGTCCTTTCTTCTTTGGAAAGATATCTAATCGGAGAACCGTACCAATGCAACTACTTGAGTACTACTGCCCACCATGTGTTGTGTGCTGTATATCTTCTGTATACAAAGGAAGCTTCGTTTGTTGTGTAGAAGCATTGTAGATTAAATGTATCGTATTACCTATCTGCTAAATTCTTCTTTTGATTTAGCAAATAGTGTGTGTAATCTATATCAGTATTAAAAACCTTATTCGTTAAGATAAATAATATATATAATTACAACATAAACAAATATCCCCTTCATTCAAAATTTCAAATTCTAGGTCACCTTAGTTTTGTTCTAAGTCAAAATCCTTCAATGTTGACCAAGTTTTTAGAAAAAACATTAATATCTACAAGTTGAAATAAATTATCAAGATATATTTCATGAAAAATTTAATAAAGCTATTTTTTAGTTACATGGTACAGACACATATGCCCATCGTAAATATGCACGCACACTCAACTCTATGAACACACACAAAAACCCTATTGATATGAGCACATTCGAAATACTAACTCGACAGTGAAGTCACCACATGTCCGTTTTTGTCAATGGGCATATTTTCTACTACCAAAAGAATAGCTCTGTTAACTTTTTTTTAGGGAAGCTCTGTTAAATTTTGACAATAAGAAAAATGCAAACACTCGTGCAAAGTGGAGGAGGCTTCGTTTGAGTACTATTGCTCATGTGAGCTCTATTTGTTGTGTCCTGCATATATGCGTACAAAGTTATCTTTGTTGTCTAGTAAAATGATGTAGTTTGTTGTAGTTTAAAAAAATATGTAGTTTGTTGTCTAGTAACGATGTAGTTTAAATATATTAAATATATTGTACTACTTACTATTAAATTCTTCTTTTGAATTAGCAAATTTGCGAGTACTTTTGTACATACATAAATAAGAAAGTTAAATAAATAGTGTTTGTAATCTATACATTTACAAAAAATCTAATCTTTGATAGGTGACAAAAAATGGTGATCTGTATTAAAAAAGTGGCAAATCATATTTCATGATATTGTAACGCTTAAGCAATTTTGACCAAATTTAGCAACTGCTATTTTGGGACATGCCTATCTAAAACTCATGTTTTTGAAGGCTTGCGACGCTCAAGTACTCTCTCTGTCCACAAAAGAATGCAATTCTAGATGCATTGTTGGTTATCGTGTCTAAACTTTAACCAAATATATAGGTAAAAGTATTAATATTTATGACACCAAATAAATATAGTATGAAAATATATCTCATGACAAATATAATAATACTTATTTGATATTATAAGTATTATTTTTTTATTTATAGTTAGTCAAAGTCAAGATACTTTAACATGGTACTTTGTTAGAATTGCATTCTTATGTGGATGGAGTGAGTATTTTGTAGGGTCCAAACACTCTAAAATATGATCGACAGGCACTAGTATAATTTAGCTGTTTCTTGACACTTGGTTTTTGGTCCATGGGATAAAAAATTAAGGATTCAGATGTGACTTGTGGCTTTAAGTGATGCTCATAGATCAACGACACATAATAATGAAAACAAATTTGCTATATCACACCTGGGTGAAATCATTTCACCCACATCCAATTTTTTAATTGCCAAGTTCCCCTTCTTCTCTACCTGTTGCAAGCTCTGGTGATGTTTTAGGGTGGGTGGGTGGGTCGTGGGTGATGTAGGGGAGAGCGGGGTTAGCGTTTGGAGGAGTTATACACGTTTCCGATAGGCCTAAAGGGAGCTTCAAGATGAGCGGTGGTGGCGATTGAGATTAAGATGGCTGGCTGAGGAATCGGTAGTGTGAACACATTAAGCCCCTAAATTTGGTTTTAGTGATTGATGAACATATGTCTATATGAATGATTGATGAACACACTATATAACAGACGTGTATTTTACAAGGGGGTAATTACTATTATTAGTGATATTTATGGCTACATGGTATTCTTGGCCATGGATTTCAGATTCTATATATACATTGGACCAAAGGATATGCACAAAGGTTAGGACACTATCGTTTCTAAGTGCAAACTTGATCTCTGTAAGTAGTACATATAGGTCATTGTTTTTCTTCGACCATACGATTTAAGAGGGGTCGAGATGCTTGATCTAGTTCTTTGATTTAACGGCGCTATGCTTTCAGTTGTAGGCGACGTTCCCATTGACAACAAGATGCCTGTGGCGACTTCGTGAATCTCGAGATCAACCGGCTCAGTCCTTCGGAGGTGCTCATAGGGGTAGGGTTTGCGTACGTGTGTTTACTGTATAATTTTAAAAAAAAAGATGCACATGCGTTACGGAAAAAAGGAAGATCCTAAGGGAAAAAATACAAAGAAGATCCAAGAGAAAAAAAACAATCTCTTTCAAAAAAAAGGAAAAAAAAATACAACTATCCTCCCGGTTTTGGCCAACTCAATGTTGGTTCGGTCCAGTGGGCTACCTCGACACAGGCCAACCAGATCGCTCAGACCTCAGACTCAGCCTGGCTCCGAAAGTCCGAATCAGTCCGTGGTCCAAACATCGCATCGCATTCTCCTTGCCTGCTCCAGAATGTTCCCCTCCACCTCCGCCTCCGCCACGGCGCCCCGCTTCCTCCGCCCCTTACACCGCCACCGCACCCCGCCGCGCCATGGCGGCGGCATCCGCGGGCGGCCCAAGCAACCCGCCGCCGACGCAGCAGCAGTCTTCTCCCACCAAGGCGGTGCGCGTGGTGGTGAAGGGCCGCGTGCAGGGCGTCTTCTTCCGGGACTGGACCGTGGAGACGGCGCGCTCCCTGGGGCTCGCTGGGTGGGTCCGCAACCGCCGTGACGGCACCGTGGAGGCTCTGCTCTCAGGGGACCCCTACAAGGTCGACGAGATGGTGTCCCGGCGGATCCCCGTGGGCCCGCCCGCCGCCGTCGTGCCCTCCCCCGCCGAACCGGTCGCTCCCGACGAGGGCTTCCACCGCAAGCCCACCGCCTGACTGGTGAGCTGGTTCGTCGGCCATCCGTGCGGCGTGGTCATTCTTTTCCTGGAGATTGTTAGTGCTAATTTACGGCGTTGAGTCAAATAATCTCAATCACGACGAGGAGCTGCTTCGATGAGTGGGCCAGGATGGTGATTGCTTGATGCATGCACTCGGTTCTTGTGATCATGTCTTATGCAGCCCTGTGAACTGTGGTGTTTCTGACAAATATGCCGTGCCTGTAGTTATCTGCTCTGTTCCGAGAGAAAACGGTTGTGGATGGCGCATTGGCGCTTAGATTTGCTTTCAATATTTCTATGGATTGATTCAAAAAGGAAAAACTATGGAGATTGTCTAGTGTCCACGCTACAGTCACGAGAGATGATTGTCTAGTGTCCACGCTACAGTCACGAGAGATGTGAGAGGATCATCGATGTCCCTGTTGCATCTCTTGTTGGTGATGCAACAGATGAATTTGACTCCAACTTACTAGAAACCTTTCTACTTACTCCTACCTTTTCTATGAGTACATACATTGATTAAACTACTCCCTCCGTCCCAGTATATTTGCACGTTTGGAGTTCAAATTTTTTCGGCCTGAGCCAGCAGCGGACGCGTGCAGCAACGGCAGTCATCCGTACGCGACAGGCTATAGCCGCACAGCGCTAGGGTGTCCGACCAAAAAAATAAAAAAAAAACTAAAAAACAAAAGGAAAAAAAATCAATGGAGGCTCCATCGGCCCATCCAGATGCCCGGGGCTGCGTGACCCATCCTGCCATAATAAAATAAAAAAAGGGCTGCCGTCTTCAACGTGTGAAATGACGCTTCCCGGACTGGAGAACTCTCTTGCTTCTCCAGAGTCATCAGTCCACCATCGCAACCGGCTGACATCTACAGGGTATTTAGGTAATTTTCCATCCGTCTTGGTTGTCATACCCAGTTATAGAAATGCAGATATTTTGGGATAGAGGGAGTAGACACTTAGGGGATATTTTCCTAAATGTCATGATTTGTTGTGTTTAGCTTATTTTTAAAACTCATGTAGAAATAGAGTCGTTAAATACTTGGCTAAATGTTTGGCAAATTAGATTCAGTTTTAGTGAAACCTATAATGCAATTGTCAATCTTTGTCTATTTCTTCACATAGATTTTTCTCTCTTGTCACTAACTCATGTTTCCATATTCATTTCAAAGGTTTTTTTTTACAACACATTTCAAAGGTTGATGTACTTGATTTGCGTAGCTTAGGACTTAAGAGATCAAGCTAATAGCTACCACAAGAGAAGCAATATCTCACCCAAGTAATCTCCAGCGTCTTCCTAACACTACTTGGTGTACATTGTGTGCCTTCCTAACACTACTTGGTATACATTTTGTGGGTATACTACTTGCGGTGTTTTTTTTTTCTGAACACTTGTCTGAAAAATCTTACCCATAGGAAACTATCACCCAGAGCTACTGTAAAATTTATAACTTGTATAAACTACATGCATTTGAAGAAATGAACTAAAGGGTCTCTTGAATACAAGCCATTAGTATAGCATACCAAGACTGGCCTTGCAATAATATAATCCAAACCAAAGAAACAATACAACCTGAAAAGGAATAAGAAGGCCATTAGCTTAGTAATAATGAAGAGGTGATGTTTATAGGCACAAAGCACTACAAATGTTGCATATATAAATATTTGTATCTCCAGTAAGGATGGATTTTTTTTGGCCAAGAGTCATGTAACAGAACCGACCAATTATACGAAATTAAGTAAGAAAATCATCCGCCAGAGCAGACGATTTAGCAAACTTAAGACCGTATAACCCGGTAGTCCGTGAAATCGCGAAGGATTTCAAACCAACTTCCATTCCAGCCAAGATCGTAATAAGTTTAGCGGTCACCATCACATATTACATAAAAGTTCGCAATCTCAGATATATCAGAGTTTAAACATAGTTGTTACAAACCCGTTCGAATAAAAGTAGCGGAAGCCATTTGTTCAAACCACACACACTCACGCGGAGTTCAAATATAGTGCCAGCGAATGATCATCTCCAACAAAAGCATTAGACGAGACGTAAGGAATGACCATGCCCATGGTCCTAAGCATCACCCATCGCAGGATAAAGGCAGTTGATACAATAGCCGTAATACATCTGCCCATCTGCAACAAGTGGGAATAAAACCCTGAGTACGAGAAGGTACTCAGCTAGACTTACCCGACATAACCGAAAATAAATGACTCCAAGGATTATGAAGGCTTTATAGTAGGGTACCTGACTCATTTGCAAAAGAAGCATTTTTAGCATTTCAAGAACCTTTCTAAAAGCATTATTGTCGAGTTAATTATTATTAACCTGTCGACTAGATTTGCATCTATACTAGAGTAAACATGTGATTAAGCAATTAATGATAACCACTGATCATTAAACAACTTTCATACTGTCATATTCACTATAACTGTCCAAGTGTTCCATAAACATTTACTACGATGAAGTCACTCAAGTCAAGTGCTCACTATCCGGGGAGCGATGGCGATTCGAATCGATTCCTAACCAAATGGGTGATTTATTCCTTACACAAATCTCACTCACCCGCTAAAGTGAGATATTGATCACCGAAGTCAACTTTCCGGTATCTCGAGTTTGCCAGAACCACATGTACCGGGGGCCGACCGACGCACTTTGGTCTTATCATCCGCCCGTGTCCTACCACACCGCTTGACCTGCAAAGGCGGCTATGGGCAATCTACTCGGCCCGAAAAATCTCCCGACTTCATGCGGTTGGAAGGTACTTTATCCAGCCGACTAAATGTAAGGCATCGTTCAACATGACTCGAGGCCCAACAACGGTCGGTCCTTAATCGATACACAGACGGAAACACTACAGTCCAAAACTCTACAAGTCTCCGCCTGGTCTCAACTTCATTTAACACTTAGTTATACCATGACTTCATAGCCATCCAAGCGAGATCCGGTAACCACCTATAGCTCGCGGTGACGAAATCATCCGACTTCTACCGGTCTAAGCCAAATAAGCATTGACTTTCATTGCGGATACCGGGGTAACAAGGATATAGTATAACAAAGGTAAACAAGGTATAATGCAAAGAACGATTGCAAACAACTCCCGACGTAATGCATCAATTTAAAGTAGAGCATTTAACAAAATCATTGCAAACCGGAGAAAAAGATGCTCGGGGCTTGCCTCTCTCTCGAAGGAGCTCGGGCGGTGATCGGGGCACTCGGGAGTTCTTCAACGTCCTCCTCGTCGGCTTCGGCACTTCCTGCTGCTTTGCACTCGAAATGCTCTCCTCGGGCTCCTCGGGTATGACGACTGGGTTCTCGGTTTGCGATCCTGTATGATGCAATGCGCGTAAGTGATTATGCAAACGGTGCATCGAAGGAGATGAATGCAATGGATATGTTTAAATGCAAGGTAGTCAACATCATCCAAGAAACTATACTATAAGCACATGTCATCTACTGCATTCTCTTCTACTACTAATATGTTAAGTCAACATATTTTATTAAATGCTTCAAAGATACACCAAAGCTTTACTAATTTCTTAATCACACTTAAGGCAACACTTGCTTAAACCCTAATTAATAATAGGTTTGAATAGCAACATATATTTCTGATGCTCCTAAAAATCTGAGAAAATTACAGTAGCATAATACTACCCTAAACAGACTACCATAAAAATTTCATGGCATTTGGATAAGTAAACTATCCTACACAAAAATGACAAGCTATAGCATAAAAATGAGCATGAAATTACTTTGTACTATGAAAAGTGTCAAACAACAGAATTAATATTTTTCCTAGGTTCTTCATAGCATATAATGACTGTCCAAAAATTATCACATGCATGTTTTATACAAAGTTTGCTCTCTATCAAAAATAACAAAAATCAGCCATTAAAGGTACTTGAACTACACCTCAAAATTTTCCCACAGCACATGCATGAAACATATTTTTTCTAGGAAGTACATGACATAAGAAGATTAACAAACTTGGAATCATATTTTTCTGAAGAATATAGATTTTTCTACACATTTTTCAATTTATCAGCAATATACATGATTAAATAAAAGCCTATAGAAAGTATCACAAAAATGACATGCAATAATTTTTCCAAGTAGATCTGGTGATAAGGAACCTAGCAAAATTTGTTTCAACAATTTTGGAGCAAGTTTGAGCACCCAAACATTTTTCAAACCATTTCAGATTTCAAATAATAAAGAATAAATGAAAACAAATCATGTAAACAATGTTTGGGCCGCTCATTGAAACAAGCTGCCCACGGCGTTTTCGCCCTCGTGGCCCGAGCGAAAGGAGGAGCGCCATGGCTGGGGCAGGCTTGACCCATGGTCGCTTTTGCTTGGGTCGGCCCACTAACGGTGTGGCGAGAGGGACTCGCCGGCTTGCAGCCTGCTTGTATGGGCGCACAATGGCTTTCGCGCAGCAGCGCGTGCCGCCATCGGCCGGGCAGGCAAGTGGCGAAACCACGGAGGTTCGCGCGAGGCAATGGAGAATGCGGGCAGGCAGCTAAGCATGGCTGAGAAGGGGAGGAAGGGGACGTTCCACGGCGGCCGAGCAAGGTGGCGCCATGGCCGACGGCGGCGAAGCTTGGAACAAGCACTACCTTGGCTCAAACGACGGCACAACCGCGAGCACCAGGTGTCGGAGAGCGAGGCGGAGTTGCTGGCGCTAGGAATCGGAGAATGAGGCGCGGGAGGAGGAGGAAATCGCCGGCGGAGCTGCGGGCGTGGCGAGGCGAGGCGGGAGGCTCTCTCGGCTCTGGAGGGAGAAGAGAAAACGCGGGCGAGAGAGGCGAGCGCACGGGCACCAGCAGGTGAAAGGCGGGCGGGCAGCGGTGTGTCCGGCGCCATGCGCCGCGCTGCCACGGCGGGCGACAACCGCATGTGGTCGCCACGCCATGCGGAGTTTCTGCCATGGTCGTGGCGTGGCGGCGACCGACAAAGAAGGGAACAGCCAAGGCCAGGGAGAAAAACCGATCTGT